CTCACCGACTTTTGAACTTCTTGCAAATAGCTTTCGTACGCAACCTTTAATTGTGATTTGATGAGTGATCTAAGTCTAATGAACTCGTTTCTGTAAAAATTATTTTTAGTTTGTTTCCATTTACGATGGTTTCTTGCCTTATCTTTTATGTTCTTAATTATTGACGAATTATACCATCTTGGAAACTTCCACTTGAAGTTTTTGAATAACGGTACATGCTTATTCAAGATTCCATAAAACTTTTTGTAGAACTCGTCAATTGCTTTATTAACATCCTGAAATGCTTTCAAAAATGACCAATCAATAATAGTTGATGAACACACACTAATCCTCTTCTGACACAAAACTGTACTAAACTAATGTTGAAAAGAATTTGTCTACATATTTTTGTCCCTCATAAAAAAGAACTTATATTCAGACTTGTATTGTGTTCATTGCAGATAATGTAAAAACAAGGAATTTAGTTTTTCTACTAATAACGCATTTGTTTATGGAGCAATGAAGTATGAATTCGTTTTATAAAGGTATTTAGGTAAATATTCATATTTGTCTCTACTTTTGTCCATTACTGTATATATAAAGGATATACACATAAATTTGAAAGGTAATAAAATAGTACCTGTGGATCATTCGAAGAATTATAATGAAATGATGACTTAAAATTTGTTGAACACGTAAACGTAAACCATTTAATTTCTCAGTGCTTCGCTATTCTCAGAATTTTATTTGCAAATAAATCTGCGAGAAAGCAATTGTGTGGATCTTTCTTGTTTTGAAAAATATACTGCTTAGTGGTTTACTATCCCTATTTATATATTAGAACAAGAAATCGTATTAAACGTATTATGAATACATTTTGCAGACTTGTAAATGATCTTAGACCATGAACGACCTCAAATGGATGAAAATTGATGAAATTTATAAATACCAGCTCCTAAGTCATAGGGTTCCTTATTTAAAAACACCGTCATATTAAGTAACCAAATTCATACGCAGAGGAAATATGCATGACAAGAAAGAAATTCTACTTGATCTGCAACTAAATCTGTTGTAAGCCATAAGTGGTAACTGACCTTATGTTTTCTTTATGCCTTTACATTGATTATACTTTATTTTGTCGTTATTGTATACAGGTATTAATTTTCAACAAATTTTCAGTTATACATATCCTATTGTTAAAGGGGTTAGGTGCTAGAGTAGATATAATATTCTAAATCTCGTCTCATGTAATATTATGACAAATAAAGACGTTAATTTTTATTATTATTATACACTTCGTGTCGAACGTTTCTCCAATTTTGTTATCCCTTCCAAAAAATAAGATTTGGCGTCAAAATATTAATTTGTTTGTAAAATGATTTCATCGTTGGAGTCAGATGTCTTTCCGCCGAGCCATTTAGGTTTAGGTTTAGAAACAAGAAATAGTCACTTGAGGCTAAATCCAGAAAATAAGGCAGATGAGGAAGCAGTTCCTAGTCCAATTTATGTAATTTTGCAACGGCGGCTACACATATGTGCATCATTGCATTCTCTTGGTGGAAACGATTTTTTTCCTGGTTAAATGTGGTTGTTTCTTAAATCGTCGTTGAATCGGCCCAATAAGTTGACAATATTCGCCATTGATTGCTCTTGCCTGTTGAAGGTAATCAATGTATTATACCGCGTACATCCCAAAACACGGTCGCCATGACTTTATTGGCTGACAAACCCACCTTGACCTTCTGCTCTGATTCGTCTGGAGAAACCCACTGTTTTGACTCCTGGTTGGTCTCTGGTGTGTTGTGACGAATCCATGTCTCATCCACGGTTACGAAACGGTGCAATATCTCGTCCCTGTTGCGGTTGAATAACGCCAAACACTCCTTCACAGTTGTCAGAAGATTGCGATTGTGCTATTGTGAGCAACCGCGGCACCCATCTTGCGGATAGCTTTCTCATACCCAAGCGATCATTCAAAATCGAAACCACCACTGAGACATGTGATATGTGATATGCCTATGGCTTACACAATCTTCCGCACTTCCAATCTTCGATCGGCCAACACCATAACGTGAATTTTTCAATTGTTTCGGGTGTAGCGACCTCAACTGGTCGTCCAGAACGTTAGGCATCTCTCATGCTTGTACGGTCACAACGAAATTCATTAATCCTCTTTTTCTGGACAAACTAAATGATGACGCATTTTGTTCAAAATTTGACAGGAGTCAAGTAACAGATACTTGTTGACAGGAGCAATGTTGCCCGTCTAGTTAAGGGGCGGGAAATTCTAAAAGTCACGGACTTACTGACCCACCCTTGTATTAAGTAAAAAATAATAACGTACAGTGGAAAAACTGTTTTTTATTTAATTCAAATCTTGCATGAATTTTGGGACACCCTGTAGTAGTCCCACACTATTTTCGAGGTTGAATACCCCTTACATAACTGTATAATTCCTCATAATCACAAAAGGTAATATAGTTGCAACCGGCTTTATGGTTGACGTTAGTTATGGCTTCTTTAGCTGCATCCGCATATAGTTATTGTAAAAACGAGGTATAAGATAAGCCGTTATCTCTTCTTAATTGAATATAATTATCTGCGGATTGTTTACTCAAGACGTCGCGCCATGGAATGTATGTTCGACGTCATCTAAAAATAGTGTCGCCATTCACGAAATTTCAAAATAATAAATTAAAAATACGCATTCTGGATGCAATCCAAATATTTAGTATTTACCCTGGTTTAGTCTTGTAAACTTGGCATCCGGAAATGCTTTTGCTGGGACGACTCTCCTGCATCAAACAGTCCGTAAATAAGATTACATTATGCGTACGAATCATTTGCTTATAAGTCATTTATGATGATGTTGAAGCTCCTCAGAACTGAGAATATTTATTTTGATGGATTTCGAATTTTCTAATATTTGTTTATTATATGAAAGCAGTCACGAATCGATCGCCGCGTACAAGGTGGACAAAAAAAGTAAACATCATCGGACTTATAATGGAATATAGGCGTAGTCTCTATGCCGAAATCTGTGTGAGGCCTGGCAAAGGTGCAAATATTTCGCTGTCATGATTTGTTAGACCATAAAAGAATTGTCGATTTGAAATTCACATTGATCCTAACCGCAAATCGACTAAATGTCTGTTATTTTCATTAATAACATAACATATAATTGCTTTAATGTAGAATTCGAAACATTGGAAAATTTTGTAGATTTTCTTAGATAGGTACAAGACTTTTATTAATTGGGATATTTCCTGACTGTTAGCCCACTGCATAATTATAAATGTGCCTGTTACAACCAGCGTTGATTAGGTTAACTTTGCATTTCATGAATGTATGAGTTCATTAACTATTTTGATGGGGTTTTTGAACCATTGAAGCACAACCGGATGACAACACAGACAACTGCCACCAAATGGTTCCCCATGTCATTGCTTTCAGTCGCTGTAAACATGACCAACAGCATACAACGCTGTTTTATGTTTTTTTTTCAGTACGGTACAGTTCTACTCGTTTGGAGACAAACGGACAGCAAACAAGCGGGTATGGCCAGTTGAAAAACTCAAGTGCAAGGGGCATAGGGCCCTTCGGCATTTTCAGCGTATGGACCGAAGATGTATCAAACTTTGTCATTGGCAGTTGTCAGTGTTCTTGTGTAGAACTTACGGAATTTTTGAGTAGATTATACTCGCTTGGCTGCTTTCAATTTGACCGTCTCCACACGGCTAGACCTATACCGTACTGATGATTACTAAAAGGCATGAAACAAGGTTTTTTGCGGTTGGTCATGGTAACAGAGACGGACAGACCATTCAACCATTGATGCAGCAATTGATTCTACGTGTAAGTTATGAAAAGTGCTTTGAAAATTCAAAAGTTCTGGAGAAACTAGCACAGCAACAAATACCGAATCATGCAGAATATTTCCAGAAAATCAATAGGGCTCCCGTAAATCTTACTCTACTACTACCGCCCTGCTTAATACAACTGATAATATGCGTGCTCAAGATAAATATATTGCCTCCATTTTGATCTCAATCGATCGATTCGACAAATTGAATCTCCAGCTGCTTCTTGGTAAATTAGAGTTTTTGGGTTTTGATAATATACCTATATCGTTCTTATCTGAATATTTGGTTCATCGTTCATAATGTGTTGTCATTAAGAATACTTATTCTAAATCTACTAACATCATATCTGGTGTTCCAAAGGGTCTGTTTTGGGACCCTTGTTATTTTATTATATATTGCCGATTTGCCCTCGATACTAGCTAACTCTTCAGTAAGTCATTTGCAGACGATACCCAGTTGCTTTACGATTTTTGTCAGCAAGACCAACCTGCAGCCGACGAGCTAAAAGAATATGTTGATGCAGTTTATAACTATTCTATAAAGCACAATAATTTAAGGATGAATTCCTCAAAATCCAAAATCATGTTATTCTGCTCTAATACTAGTGAACGTATAATCCAAACGTTTCATAAAAAAATTGGATCAGATCGCATAGAATTTAATAATGAGTCTACTCGTAATATACTTGGCGTCATTTTGGACGCTAACTTAATATTCAAAACTAGCATAGTACAAAAATCCTATTTGAAATTACGTGTTTTATATGCAATCTAAATTGCGAAAAAAGCTAGCTGAATTCCTTGTTCTGTCAACTATTAATTATTGTAATATTCTTAACCAGCGTTGCTTGAATTAGCTGACGGCGTTTGCAAGTAATTCAAGACAACCGAGTCAGATTCACGTATGGTTTACGAAAATACGACCATGTTAGCTATGCTTACAACAAGCTTGGATGGATGAAGTTCAAGTATTTGACTAGTTTTCATTATTTGCTCTTCCTCCATAATAAACTGATCGCAACTGGTAAACATTTTTTTTTAGTAAAATTCACAACAAAACTCTTAGATATAGGATAAACCAGGGTGAGATGGTGATAAAAAATTAAAACTCTTTTAAAAGAAAAACTTAAATATATTAAATATTGCGAATAATCGCATTGCATCGAGATACACAAAAAACTTATCCTAAATCGAAAGACAACAAATTTTGACATGTAACAAAAATAATTTTCATTTAAAACTAAAAAGTGTGACACCATCTCCCCCAACATAATACGGGTTAGATGGTGATGTGGGTAGGGGTCAGTTGGTGATACATCAATTTATGGAAGTCTTATTTTTTGCGAGCCGTTAGACGTCCACAGGGCTCACAAATATTCAAAAATGAGGTGCAGTCGTCGTGTAGCCAACGATTGCATATAATACATTGGATCCAGTCTACACTTTTTTTGGTTAACAAATAAGGTTCCTCACAACCGACGCACACTGCTTCATTTTCATCACTGACCTAAAATATTCAAAGCATGTATTTACTAAACATAATAGAAGTTTTGTTTGTTAAGTGGATTCCAGAATATTTCTTACCTCTTCTTCATCATCCAAATGTATTTCTCCTTCAGTTTCGTCAGAACTTTCAGATTCATACTTTCTTCTTTTTAACGGCCTTTTCATTCGCAGTTTCTGGGATTTTTCTTTCCGTTCTTTTGTTTTCTGACCTTGTTCTTTTCTTAGTTTTAAAGACTGGATTGTATCAGTGGTGTTTAAAATGACGGCTATATTTCTTGACCTTTTTGTAATTTTTTTTACGACTTCAACTAGGGATTGGTGAAATTTGATCAAGCATTTTTCCTGGTGTTATTTGAGAATTGTTGTTTTCAGCGATTTCCCGATTAATTTCTGGCTGCTGAACAAAGCCTCCACTTCGTGGTGGAGTTCTTGGAAGATCCCATGTAGAACATCCTGGCTGTGGTGACACGCTTCTTTCTGGTGAAATCACTTCATCTATTTGGGCTGGTGCATTAGAATTCGCAATGTTTCTTGGTTCATTTTCATAAATATCATCGAGTTTTAAAAATGCATAGTTTGGAACGGCATGCGGGTTAAATGGAATAACTCCACAGCTCCGAAATCCTGCTACTCCATTAGGTTGTGTAGCAGATTTTCCCCATGCTTCGTTCAGTAGAGAGCCAAAACATAGCCTATTGATTTTTCTGGTGGGATTCATTCTCATATATATATTACAAGCGTTGTAATAATGGGACTTCAATGCCTTAAAAAAGGAACGATCCAAAGGTTGTAGCCAATGAGTTGTATGGCTTGGTAGGCACAAAAGTATAATGTCGTTTGCCTGTACAAACTCAAGAGTTTCGACTGAGCTACAGTGGGAACTGTGCCCGTCCAGGATTAAAATTACTTTTCCTTTAGATTTTCTTGGTAAAAAATGGTTTTTTAGCCATAAATAAAATATGTCATTATTGACGTATGCGGACTTCTGGGACATAAATATTGTGGATCCATTTGGCATCCCATTTTTGTACTCGGGTTTTTCATTTTTCCCTTTAAAAATACACGCTGGTGGAAGAAAAATCCCTTCACCGTTACAACAAGCGATCAATGATCAGAAGTAATATTTACTACAGATTTTGATCCTTTTACAGCCACAACACTGCCGGGTTTACTATTGAGTTGTAAACCCGTTTCGTCAACATTATAACAATTTCCAGGTTTGTCAAGTAAGTCATGTTCTATCAGCAAATCTTGCAATAGGTCAAAGTATTTCATAACTGCTTCCTTGTTCATGTTTAGTGAACGAGATTGTGAAACACCTTCGGATTTTCTTATGGTTAATTGAGGGTTTCGACGAAAAAATAGATGCAACCAGTCTAGTCCTGCCATGCAAGTTTGTCTATTGAAATTTATATATTATATGAAGCTGTTCCGCTAGTTTATATGCCATTATTCTGACTTCGTTTCTGGTCGGAGTAAACCCGTGACGCTTTTTTTCATTTTCAATTCCCAGAACAGAAGGGGGCCCTAGACCTTTTTTTCCAAACAATTACTAGAAATCCTTCTTTTCAGAGTCGACCAAGGAACACCATACGTTTTTGACGCCTTATAAATGGACATCTGCTGATTGTGTACTGCTTGAGCCGCATTTTTAAGATCTTCTTCCTCCCATTTCCCTCTTGAATGATTATTTTTAGGTTTGTATATAGTAGGCATCTTTTTCTGCAAAGATAAGACCAAATCAAAATATAATATATACTCACCATCTCCCCCAACAAAACCTATCACCATCTATCCTATTTACAAGGGGGAGATGGTGAATAGTTTTATGGCAGAACGGAACGTTGCCGGAATTCATTTTTTAGGTTAGGATGTTCGTTTAGCTTTGTTTAACAAAGTACTAAGCGTTAAAACTCGCAAAAGCACCCTCTAATAAAATGACCCGGTCCGCAAGTCACATACGAAAAAAAAATACCCCATTATAAAATACATCTTGTCATTTACTCACCGAAATTAACTTTTATGCGGACAGCATTGCACACGTGGAACTTACACTAATTGAAATAATAGGCCGAGCGTACATGTGGCGCCAGCTCTTAAACGATACGAGAATTAAAGCCATTCACCGTCTAACCCAGTATCGCCAACTATCCCGGGTTTACCCTACATACATTGAATATTTGAATACCCCACATCGCTTCGTTTTTTCAACGCTCACTTTTCTATAATGCTGGCAGTCTTTTTAATAGTGTTCCTGTTCACTATAAAACCATGAATCTGTCTTGTTTCCTAAGTATGTTAGGTGGTACCTACAGAGCTGTACGTTATAATTTTTGTTAATAATGCGTAAGTAAATTAGTTTATGGTCACTTTGGCTGTGTGTTTGTAGGCATTTAAATGAGTAGTTCGATGTTTGATTTAATTGGTTTCAATACCATTGTGAAATTGCAATAGAAACACTTTATTGCATCGTATCTCTTTTATCATCTCTATTTCGTATTCATATGCTTGTCAGGATAGCTTTAGCTAAACTTCGCCATGATAAATCGCACTTATATAGCTTTGTTAATAAATACGATATTGTTATTATTATTATTACTATTATTAAAATTTGTCGTAGGTTCTTTCCCCTTTCATATAGCCTGACGCATAGTTTTCGCGACCATGGCTTACACTAATTACAGAAATAAGTCACGTTCTTCTCTAAATTGGCCGCTCGTTTAGGCTGCTTGTTCACCCCGCAATCGCAGGAGCGTTTCGTCGGACTTCTTAAATATTCATCATCAATCTTTGTGGAGCGCTGCACTGCTTTTTACACCTGCTATAAGACAAAACATGCGACGATCACCGAGCAGCATGAATGTGTCCAGATTTGGTGCTTATTGCTTATGTAACGTGGTCTGGCTTGCAGTCACAGTGAGCTGGCATTGACTTTTTCAACGTTCATTCAAACTGCAGGAGGAATGTAAGGTTTTTTCTTTGTTTACTTTACGAACAAGCGGCGTTTGGCGGGACTGAAAAACTGATTAGTGAAGAGGGATTCGATTCAGTTCGAGGGTATTGAAGATTTCGAACAGGTAATGGCTGACTAGCATACGTATATATTTGATGTTTCAGATCACATTTTATCATACCATAGCTGCTTTCCCTGTTGAGTTACTCTCAGTAACTCGGAGTAACTCAGTAGCGGTCAGCTCCAATACCGTTTCAATGCACGTATTCTGATGCATTGTTCCTGAAGCCGTTCAGGAGCGTATCACTCTCAAACCAAAAACCACTGGAGAGCAGCCAAGGTTACTAAAAAAAGAAACGCGTTACTGTAACGTCACGTGATATCGCGAGCTATGGCACAAACTTGCGCATCAAAACTCAGATTGATTGACAGAAGAATGTGTGTCTGATGCGTAATATTTTTCTAAATACGCTTATCCTTTTGTGGTTTCCATGCACGAGTATACGAGTACATTACAATGAAAAGCCATTTGTAGTTATAACGCGTTTTCTCTAGTTTATTTTATTCTATGTGCCTATGTTGTAACTAGAATTTACTGCTTATATGTAGGTATTTGAATTTTAAACCAAATCACAATCCTAACAAACAACTCGAACCAAAACAAAATCCAAACGGTTTATGTTTTCGCCCTTGATAATGTTACAAACTGTCAATTTTTTTCGAGAAAAATGTTTATTACATTTTCGGATAGAGCCTTAAAAAAGAATACTGATATAAGCTACTATGAAATTTTCGAGATATAAGCGACTTAATATAAAAAACGCTAAACTTTCACAGCTTGCCAGTCCACCATTTTGAATGTTAGTGAGTTTATATTCTAGTTTCAAGTAGCCTTGAAATGAGGAATGACGTGATTCAAGTAGACTAATTCTTGGAATGTGGGAATAGAATAGGCAAACTTTTGAAGAGCCAAGACCTTATTAGATGTTCTTGGTAACTTTGACATTCCTCACAGGTGTCAAGACTTTCAAATTCTCCTTTTTAAGTTGATGTTGTGTTTTGGTTATTTGATTTTGATACTTATCTTGCCGTGTGATTTTCATTTACAAACTTCTGGCGGTGGTTTGTGCTATTTGTGCCAGTTGGGTACAAGGTATAGTGTAAATAAATTATTAAAATTGATACTGACAGCTTTCACTGAGCGAATAGGGCTGTGGCTAATCATGAAATCAATAAATGTATTTGTGGCAGGCACAGTGATCAAGTCAAAATATTGCCTAGCCCTATTAGTGCGTGGAATATGGAGTGATTCAATAACTAATAACTGAGATAATGTGGGCGTGGTTATTTTACCTTTCGAGAAACCCTATTCCTGGACCTCTATTTTTAAAATGATCTAGTAGAATGAATGAGACAAAGTGGCCGTGGTTCTTTTGCCTTTCACTGAATTGTATTCCTGAACACTGATAGAATAATCGCTTTCGGAGTCATTCTCGGGAGGAAAAATAATTATGTTTGGAATACATTGTACTCAAGAGTTGGAAAACTTCGGGAAAATCGTTTCTGAAAAACGCTAAACGTTTCTAGATTCACATCAAGCTACAAACATCTCATGCACTGTTTTTTATATATTTTGTGCCGATTTTATGGGACTTAAGTTTAAGGAGAGATACGCTAGATGTTAGCTCAGTTATTAAACCCTGCATTAAAACATAGCCTCCTAAATCCAACCCACTGCTCTCTAGAAGAACGGTATCGGTGATATCGCATAACGAGGCGTTGTCCAATTTGCGATAACAGGGTGTTAAAATATTATTATTTTATTTATAGTCCAACTGATCAATAATTCATATACAACCACTTTGTGCGCTGAGATTTTTTTCTATATTAAACACAACAAAAAAGTCAAGCTAAATACCTTTAATGCGTTATCTTCTATCGTACGGAATACGTAGCTCGGACCTCTTTGTCGCAAATTTCCAAACGCCTCAAAATGTCACTTTTAAAAACCTGCCAACTATCATTTCAGCCAGGTGTTTTGCACACAACCCTAAATCATCGTGTTCCCCATTAAAAGGTGCTTATTTGGATATCTGATTTATTTATTAAACAAATCAGTGCAAAATATATCAACACATCTTATGTCTGCCAAAACAGTAGTTACGCCAAGAAAAAATAGACAACCCAACATTTGCAAGTTTTAATAAAAAGTGATTTTTCAATTTTTAATTATTCATATTCTCACCAAGAATTCTTTAGCCAAAACACTCGCGAGGTATTTTTTAACATAATATATAAAATGATTTTCAACCATTGAAGG